GTCTCTGGGATGGGCACTGCCCTGGGGGTTTTTCCATGAGCTAGAGGGCATTGTGCCCATTTTATAGGTGAGGGAATCCAATGCAAAGAGGAGATAAGGAACCATTTGAAGAATTTTGAGGGGCAGGAGAATTTATAATGGTAGGAAAGTTTGGGAGTTATGATGTATGCCTAGAAGAGCTCAACCCTTCTGGAAATCTTGTCTAGCTTTTCAAGGGCATGGCCAGTCTGCCGGGCTCTGAACCCAGAGCAAGGTCTCATTAGCATTCAGAAGGGGAAGGAACCATGGGGGACGCCATCCAGGGCATTGGGAAGAGACAGGCTGTGTTTTAATTACGACCTGGACTTTTGAACAAATCCTTTTCTCTGCTTGTCTGAGCCTTAGAGAAAACAACTTGTGGGAGGTGTGCTCTCGGCAGCTGGGTCCACAGTGGTACCCGGACAGCTGTGTACACATCTGGCTCACAGGTGGTGGATGGCCTGAGCCTCTTCTCCTTGAACTGCTCTGGGGTTAGGGAGGGTAACAAGAGTTAAGGTAGGGAGGTGAGGCTGACCTGGTCCTTACCCAGAGTGGGCGAGCTGGTGGAGAGAAGGGACAGACGCAGGTCTGTGCCCCTCCTTCCCGTGACCGTTTCAGGATTGGAGCCCAGACAGCTCCCGCCACTTCCTCCAGCCGCTCCCGAGTCAACACGGTGGGCTTTCTTTGTAGGGCTCCCCCGACCCTCCCTTCTCCAACTTGGGGGAAATTTTTAGGAGAGGGGGATGGAATTAGGAAGGGTGGAGAAAGGGGAGGGGATTAACAGGGTAGAAGCTAGACAAGCACAGATGCTGTCACCTGGGGCCGCGGTCTCGAGTGCTTGTTGACTCCCTGGGTGCGTTTGCCTTGAGTCTGTTTAACAGTTCATTCCGGGGGAAGGGGAGGAGAAGGAGGGCTTCGGGGACAAAGGGCCTTTGACCAGCTCCTGGAAAAGCATTGATTAGTTTGCTCAGGTTGGCAAACAGTGACTGGGGACTAGGGGCTGGGAATGAACTGGGTGATTTTTCTGCACAAGGCATGGCATCCAGCATGGGGGCAGGAAGGAAAGGCAAATGTTCAGGGGACTGGTGCGCCCTGAGGTTGGCTATGGAGAGCACAACCTCACTGGGCAGTCGGAGGAAGGGGGAAGGAAAAGGCAGGGCTGCTGGTGTCTGGGGTCGTAGTTCAGGGCTGTTGCGTACCTTGTCGGGGGCGAAAGAGCCACACCGACCCCTTGGAAGTCGAGAGGCAGAGGGCAGGGGTTTCTCATGTGCTCCTGATGGCCAGGCGGGTAGGGGAGGGGCCGGTGTGGGGGCTCCAGGCCTGGGTTGAGAGAGAGAGAATGCAAGCTTATCCGTTCCGTTCCTGATCCCGAGCTGGGCTGGAATCACCTGCCGGCTGGCCTCTGTCCTGGCAGGCTGTTTTCGTGGGAAGCAGCTTCATTCTCTTCTCCAAGCCTGGGCTTCCTTCACCCGAAGACTTCCAATGGCTTCCATTTTTCTTTGGCCAACCCGTGTGCAGCCCCTCCTTGGGCGCCCCTCCTTCCCTTCCTCTTCGCCCTCAGTACTCTTCCCTTCTTCCAGGAAGCTTCCAAGATAAACACACTGGGAGTCACGAGCTAGGACGGCTGTAGAGCTGGGAAGTGATTCTGTTCTCAACACACACTGGCTTGATGCCTTCCTATTTTGCATTGTCCAGACATTGTAGTGTTGTTATATCCCGTTTCCCACAGGTAAGTCTCTGTGGGCAGACATTATTTGGTTTTGTTTGTTTGTCTGTGGTTTCTCTCAGTGGTCTGTGAGCTCCCAGGGGCTGGGGACTTGGTTTTGGACAATTATGTACTTACAACAGTGCCTGACACTGAGAGAACATATATACTCGTCCATATAGCCTTTTTTACGCATGTGAATGTTGCCGGAGCGGTGGCTCCTCCCCTCCTGGTGCACGGGACGGGCTTCCGAATGAACCAACGAATGGCAAGAAGAGTAGACCCGTTAAGTGAACGTGTGAGCGAGCCTTTGAGATGGGGTTGGCCACACTTCAGCCATGATGGCGGTTGGCCCATTGGTGAGAAAGTGCTCTTCCATTATTCTGCCTCTCCGGCCCCCACCAGCCTGGGGCTCATTAGCAGAGCCTGAGTCCTCTTGTGTCTTTGTGAAGAGAGGAGGGGCGAGGAGTTTTCCATACTCTGGCCATCCATCGCCCCCTGCCGCCATCCTCGCCCTACACCGTCTGAATGGCCCGTGTCTGTGGACCCCTCTGGTATGTGAAGACAAACAGAGAGAGAGAGAGTGTGTGTGTGTTGAAGATTTTATTTATTTATTTGTCAGAGAGCACAAGCAGGGGGAGCGGCAGAGGGAGAGGGAGAAGCAGACTCCCTGCTGAGCAGCGGGGCCCAAGCAGGGCTCCATCCCAGGGGGATCATGACCTGAGCTGGAGGCAGATGCTTAACTGACTGAGCCACCCAGGCATCTTAAGAGAGTGGTTTTGAGAGAGATTCTTTTCTGCCTGTTGTGCTACTACTGAAAGAAAGAAAGAAAGAAAGAAAAGAAAGAAAGAAAGAAAGAAAGAAACAACCTATTTGTTTTGGAGATATAAAAAAAATGAGTGCTATAAGGAGTGAATCCCAGAGATAGTTTCAGGGTGTATTGTCTCTGTGCTTATGCCAAAGGGGTTGCCAGAGACAGTTAAGTTATCGTGAGGCAATTTAAAAGAAGAAATAGATCTTCTTTAAATTTTCATCTGTCACAGACTAGCCTGAACTGTTACTGATCTGGGTTGGCAAGGAGGGTTGAGGAGAAGAGTTACTTTTATTGGGACCTACTGTGTGGCAGCCCCTCTGCAAGGCTCTTTACATGTGTTATTTGAGGAGAACAAGCTAGATCCATGGGTCAAGTCAAATCAACCTTTACTGAGTACCCACCGTGAACAAGAGGTTGTGGGTTATAGAATTTTCCACAGTCTTCTTGCAATATAGGCTGTTGGCGGGAGAAGTTCCAAGCACGGGAGAAGTTCCAAGCACGGGAGAAGTGAAAGGATAAGACGAGATTAAGGTGTTTCAAGTCAGCAGGAGGGAGCAATCCCCCTAAGGTTTCTGAAGCTGGGAGAGGTGGTCTGGCCTAACACCTTAGCAGCATCCCGAGGACAGAGGTGCAGAGGGGAGGAGTCCCATGGGTGGTTTTGCTGGTTGCTGTTGGTGTAGCCAGTAGCAGACCACAGCCTCTAGATCTCGCTGCTTCTTTCGTCTTTTTTTTTTAAAAGACTTTATTTATTTATTTGAGAGAGAGAGAGAGAGAGAGAGTAAGCATGAGTGGGGGGATGGGAGCGGGAGAGGATCTCAAGCAGATTTTGCGCTCAGTGTGAAGCCCAATGCCGGGCTCAATCTTACAACCCTCAGATCACGACCTGAGCCAAGACCAAGCATCAGACACTTAACCAGCTGAGCTACTCAGGTGCCACGCGGTTGGTATCTTGAAACTCCTCCAGGAGGCTACTGAATGTGCAGCCCAGACAGATCACACAAAGGTGTTTGAAGGAGGGGCCGTTGCTTCAGACCAGACCAGGGCAGGGCAGGGCAGGGCAGGTTGGGGCAGGGTTCAAGAAGCTGGGAGCTGCTGTGTCCTGAAGGGTGGGTGGGATTCGGCTAGATTAAACGGAAGAATGGGCCTTGCAGGAGGGAAGGATGGGCCTCCCAGGAGGGCAGAATGGCCTTAATCAGCCCAGCGGCAGGAAATCAGAAACATGGGCAGGTGTGGAGACATCACCATCGCCGCCAGCTCTGACTTCCAGGAGCCTGGGAGCCAACCCCCATGCTCCCCGTACCCACGCTGTAGCTTCTGTCCCCACCTCTCTGGTTCGCCGCTGCCACCCACTAGTGCTGGCCCTTGTCACTGGCAGTGGCTTTCCCTCCCTCGTCTGCCTCCACTTCCACTCTACCCTTCATGCTACAAAGAATTCCTTTGCCTCAACAGGGCTCTTATCACGTTAAAAATTGTTCAGTGACTCCCCATCCCTTGCCAGTGATGTCCAGCCTGAGTGTGTGAGTGGTTACGACAGGCCTCCCCTGCTCCCCTTCTGGAGGCGCCCCTCCTCCAGCATGCTCTGGCCTCCCCCGCCTCCCCCCTCCTCCAGCATGCTCGGCGCTCCCTGGGCTTCACAAGGGCTGTTCCCTCTGCCTGGGATCCCTTCCTCCCACCCTGTTCTGCCATCAGCCTGCCCGCCTTCCTGTCTTTCCTTTGATGGAGATTTCCAGACCTCATGGCAAAATGCAAATTGCCCTCTGCACCCCCGGTTGTTCTGTGCCCCTGAAACCATTACTTGGACGAGCCATTAGCCTGAGCTCATTTCCTAAAGGCATTTTCTTTTACTCACCTTGGCATCCGCTAGTACCTGCTGCTTTGGCCTGGCATAGAGGGGCTCCCTGTGTGTGGTTTGTTGGAAGTAAACGAAATGAAGTGAGAAGTGCCGAGAGGGAGGCGGAATGCGTGGAATGCCAGCACGGGAAGCTGGGATTGCAGTTTCTCTCTCAAAAACCAGATGATGCATCAGAACGCCCCAGCCAGCTTTCTAGAGGCACATTCTGAGCCCCCCGCCCCTTTTGTATACTGACAGGAGGAGACATGGACATTTGTGGTCCTATTATTTGGTTTCAACAATAAGCTTCCCCAGGGATTCCAGGCAGCCTCCCGGCACCCAGGTGCAGACCTCCGTTTGGGAAACACTGTGTCCTACATGCACATGGTCACACCCTGGGCTCAGACTGCTCCCAGCGCCTCTGCCCCTGCTTTTCTTAAGCCTCAGTGAGGCACTCCCTGAACCCTTCGGTTCCACCCCGTCGGGGAATACATCACCCAGATTTCCAGGGTATTCCATTCCAACCATCTTGACCCCACTTCTTAGAGTCTTTTTTGTGGGTGGCGGGAGGGTAGCTGGGCCCAATCAGACTTTGCTCAAAGACCTTGCTTCCCTTTCTCCCCTGCCACCAGGCTGTTTGCGGTCAAGTGTGGGGGCTGCTTCGAGGCGATTGCGCCCAATGAGTTCGTCATGCGGGCCCAGAAGAGCGTGTACCACCTGAGCTGTTTCTGCTGCTGTGTCTGTGAGCGGCAGCTGCAGAAGGGCGACGAGTTTGTCCTGAAGGAGGGGCAGCTGCTCTGCAAAGGGGACTATGAGAAGGAGCGGGAGCTACTCAGCCTGGTAAGCCCGGCAGCGTCAGACTCAGGTGAGTGCCGCGTGGAGGGCAGCAGGGATTTTTGGTGGGGGAAGGGGGTGTGGGACAGTGGGGTGAGCTCACGGTCTGCACCGCTCTCTCCCCAGAAGCCCAGCCACAGGGGCAGCCCAGTCCCGTGGCAGAGCAGCTGTGTGCATCCCAGGCAGTGTCTTTGTGAGGCTGGAGGGATGTCTTACTGGTCAGGAATTGTTGTGAGGACGCTGTGTAACACGTGACCTCCAAATTCCGTGGTGCACGACAGGGACCACGCGTGTTCACAGGCTAACGGGAGAGACTCTGAGTCAGGCTGAGGGTCTGCAAGTCACCTGGGATCTGCCGAGCTGAGCTCCGGGCTGCAGAGCAGGCTCGGGTCTGCTCGGTGTGGTTCATGCCAGGATACCAGCCTGAGACACAGCAGCCACAGGGCAGGGTCTTCTCTTGGCGGCGACGGAGGGTACAACCTTACGAGTGCATTTCAAGCCTCTGCTCCTGTCATGTGGGCTAACAGTCCACTGGCTAAAGCAAGTTAAAAGCTCAAACCCAAAGCCCAGAGGAAGGGAGGTATACCGCATGCCCCACAAGGCCCTGCTGGGGGTAGATACATGATACTGTTAAAGGGAAAGGAGGCATGGGAACCAGTCTTTCGGTCTGTTTCTCCATCTGTCATGTGGGAAAGCTGGAACCTACCTGAGGCTCAGCGGGTCATGGAGAGAAAGGAGCCGGAATGTACTCGTACCACCCAGCTGACCCCTACCCTTCCTGCCTTAGAGCGGGGAGAGAGGGGATGGGGAGCTCCAGCGACTGCACAGAGCGGGTTTTGGAAGGCCAGAGAAATTGAATTACGTGTCCAGCTTGAGCACGTGTCTGTCCCCACCGCACCACGTTTGTCTGGCTTCACCCCTCCCTTCTCCGGATCCCTGAGAGCCACGTGGCCTTCCTGACTCTTGCCGTTGCCACTGTCATTCCAGCCCCCAGAACGTGGCCGTAACCTCCTGCTGCCCACCTCTTCGGCTGCTCAGGGGGCCTCTGAGACCTCCCGCTCTTCCTTGGCCTGGCTGGACCCCAGCCCATCAGCATTGCCCGCTCAGCTCTGGGCCTTAAACTCTCATTCCCCCTCTGCCCCTCTCCTGGACTCTGGGGTCTTGCTGGCATGTTCTTTCAGCCTTGGTCTTGGGGCTCTTGCCCCAGGGATGACTCTTCATCCCTGCGGCTGAGTTGACCCTTGACTCCTCCTCCTGGGCCACCCACCCCACTTTATTGCAGTTGCTTTTCTGGCTCTTTGTTGTTCTTGCCAAGCGCTAAGCCCCAAGAGGGACGGCATGTGTTTCTTTCTCCACAGTGTCACCAGGGCTTAGCACAGGCCTGGAACACTCAGGGTGCTTGGCAAACTCTTACAGGAGAGAGTAAACTCTTGAAACAAAAGCACTGTGGCAAGACGCTTGTATCCAGGGACTTCGGGGACAGGTGGGGTGGGGCCACCCCTACCTGCCAACCCCCTCCACCTGCTGGCTGCACTGTACAGAGCCATGTGACTGCGGACAGCTTCCAGAACCTCCCTAAGCCTCAGTTTCCATAACTGTAAAGTCACGACGGTCATGCCTCCCTGACAGTTTTATTGTGGGGAAGAAGAGAGAGAGAAGCCTGGCATGCACTCTAGCCCGGCGGGGACGTACGCCTGCCAGCGGCGGAAATTCATAGGCGGCCCTTTTGCTTCCCCGACCTCCCCGCTGGTGGTTCTTGCCTGACTCTGCTTGTAAGTGGACCCCTGGACAATCCCAGCTCCTCCCGTCTTCAAGTTTTCCTGGATTTGTCTTAATTCAGAAGCAGTTTCTCCTTTTCAGGAACACTGCCCCTGCCACTGCCACTTTGAGAATATCCTGCTGGGGTAATTGGGCTCCTTCTGAACCAAACTTCACGGCCTCCACTCCGTATAAGAAGGTCAGCTTGGCCTGGATTCCCTCTTTAGGTGGCCCAGCCACTGAGGCCTCCTTCCTGGAATATTGCAAAATCTTCAAATTCCCGAAGGGCTTAGGTGCTATGGCGACCAAAATGCCAGTGTGACTTTAAAAAGATAGGCACACCCAGAGGGACATGCCATTCTTTCTCACATGGAAAGACGTGCTGTGGTCTAGCCCTTGCTGGCACGATTGTGTGAGGCTTGACTATGAAGTTATGCAGTTGGCCCTGTGTTGAAGATGCCCAGATTTTAATTGACTGCAGAGTTAGGATGAGGCATGAACGTACCGTACCTCACGTGCCACCCCCTGTGCAAAGACAAAAAAAAAAAAAAAAAAAAAAAAAAAAAAAAAGCTGGATCTGAGCAGCATTAATAGAAATAAAATGTTCAGAGCATGGGAACTGCTAGGTGCTCCCTTTTCTGACCCCGTTTTGAGCAGCACGTTCAGTTGCGAGCATTTTCATTTGAGGCTGCTGCAGACGCAGTAGAGCTTTCTGGTTCATTTATGTGCACATTCATTCGGCTGACGCACCTTGAGTGCTTGCTTTATGCCAGGGATGGAGTCAGAATGGAAATGACGAGAAATGATGTGGCGGGTGGGGAGATCCCTAAATCATGTCAGATGAAGGAGGTATAGCTTTTTAGGCTAGAAAAGTAAAGACGACACGAGGACATAATTGTCGTCTTCCCAGGGTTGGATCAGACCTATTTCTAACTTCAGAGAGCAGACTTGGAGTTCATTCAGTTATTTAACGAAATCACTGAGTATTTACATTATAGATAGGAAGGTAAAGGCCAGCAATTCGGAGTCGACATGGGAAGTGTTAGAATGTCATCTTAATTATTAGAGCTAATGAAGAGTAAATCTACTCGAAGAGGTGGGTGGTCCACTTGTCGAAACTAATATTGGCATGATGGGAGAGGAGAATGGTTTGAGAAGACACCATTGTCCCTTTCGACTTGAAAAATCTATCCTTGGTTAATAGCTTTAAGCAGAATGATATTAGAGTTTCGGTTAGAACCAAGTACAAGTTCTGTACCACTCATTTCGTCAATTACATAAATATTGCCTGTCTGACATCTTAAAATGCCATGGGCCAAATCCTGCCTCACTAACGAGAGGATAAGCTTCTAAGAAGCAGGCTTGTAGGTTTTCATTCCTTTGTTCCCTCAGCAAAGCTTAGCCTGATGCCAGGAGGAAGTGATCAATAAGTACTTAATGAGCAGAATTAAATCTTCGAGGAAAGGAGTCCTCCCCGTGTGGGGGGGCTTACAGAAAGCAAACAATTTTAGGACGCATCCCAGCACAAACACAATTTCGCCTCTTCTGTCTGTCCTGGGTGCTCTCCATATCCTAGGTACTTGGTAAATATTTGCTGAGTGAATGATTGAATGGGCCGTCATCTTTACGGTTTTTATCAATGACTTAGATGAAGACACGGATGTCAGGTTGCTTGGGTTTGCTGATGACACAAAGCTGGCCGGGAAGGCGGGTGGGGCAGCTAAGATTCTCCAGGTTCAAGAAGATCTTGACAAGCTCACAGAATAGCACAAAGTCAGCAAGATGAAATGGAGCCACTGGCTTCTGAAATTCAAGAGTGATGACGTGGTATAGGGCCTGTTGGGGCGGAATTCCGCGTGGGATTTCGTTGGGCACAGGGTCGGTGGGAGCCACGAGGAATCATGTGTTAATACAACTGTAATGTCCCTGACATGCAACCGTTGCTCCAGCTTTGTATGGCTTAGTGGACATTTAGGTCTTGGTCTCATTTTAAGTAGTGCATTTTATTTTATTTTATTTTTAAAGATTTATTTATTTGACAGAGAGATCACAAGTAGGCAGAGAGGCAGGGAGAAGGTGCGGGGGAAGCAGGCTCCCCGCTGAGCAGAGAGCCTGATGTGGGGCTCGATCCCAGGACCCTGGGATCATGACCTGAGCCAAAGGCAGAGGCTTTAACCCACTGAGCCACCCAGGCACCCCTAAGTAATGCATTTTCGGACATCACTGACAAAGTAGGGAGAGGTCCAGAGGACAGCGGCTACCTTATGGAACCATAAATGCCTAAAGAAACTCTGTATATTTGGTTCTATGAAAATAAAGCTAAGGGAAGTAGGGGAGTCCTACCCAAGGGTGCAGACCCGTGTCATGGGGACAAAATGACAGGTTTTGGCGTCCACCATAAAAGACTAGACCCTTTATGAGAAGTGGAAAGGCTTGTCTCTTCACGTTTTAATCACAGTGGGTGGAAGACAAGACCAGCATCCCCTAGGCCCACTTAAATGGAGGATTCTGGAATCTGTGGTTTTCTGATGCTGACTGTTCGGACTTACAGAAAAGCATGGGACACATCTGCAGCTCTAAGGGACACCAAATTCGGAGAACTTTAGCTGCTGGGTCTCTTCTCTGGTGTGGCCAGAATGCTTTCATCCTGCTCCCTGCTTTGCCAGTGGCCTGGAAGTAATCTCTCAGGAAGGATGGAATTTGTAGCTGGCGTCTGACAATTTTCTCTAGGCTGACTGGGCAACAGGGATGCCCGGGGCCTCCAGGATTGACCTAGGGAAGTTCATCCCTATGCTTTCCTCCTCGGTCAGAGAATCACACGGGCTTGAGAGGCTCTCCAGTTCACACTCCCATCAGATGCTCATGAGGCTTCTGTTGGGGTGTCTCCAACCATGGGAAATGCTTGGCCTTGCGTTCCGAGTGTGGATTGTCGGAATTGTTAGACAGAGCCCCAGTGTCTGTCTCCATGTGCAACCCCAGTGTTGGCCTTGGTTGTACTTTCTAGAACTCACAAAATCAGCCAGTCTCCCTGACATGTGGCAACCCTTTGCATTGCAGACAGAGATTCTTTTACTCCCTGGGTCCTCTCTTGTCCTGTTGCATTCTTCCCCATTCTTCCAACTGTCCTGTGGAAGAGAGTGCTCTATCTGGACGCACGGCAGTCTCTCTAGAAGGTACCATCCAGAAGGACGTGACGTCTTTGACATGTGGTCTAAACTAGCACAGTGCTATTACTGCTCCTTGTCATGCATGTCTGGTTCTGTTGACGTGGCC